GAGTTTGGACTAAATTTATTAGTTAGCAAATTTATTTAGAAAAATAAAATAATTTGACTTATTTAAGATAAAAATTTTAAAAAAAATAGGGATATTCGGTTCTTATTTGATTTTTCGTCTAGAATCGAGAACCGAACCGAACTCGTCGGTTCTCGATTCAGATACCCGTTCGGATATTTAATTTAAGAAGAACTGCTCGATTCAGTTTGGGTTCGGTTCGGGACTTTTGGACACCCCTAGACAATATCGCTAAATAAGTTCTTCTCAAATTACCCACTAATTTAGCTTATTTTATACATCATGGGAACAAGTATCCTTACCTTTTGCACTTCAGTAAAAGAGGATTAGTATGGAAAAGCAGGTGATAATAATTAAACTATAAATTAAAACATTCGTGCCAAGTCACGATATATTTTAACCTTGGATGGTGAAACATTATCTCATGGACAAAATCGTTCCTTATTACCCAATAACAATTCTAGCATTTTTGAAGGGCATGTTATACAAATCTATAGTAAAGATGTAAAAAGCTCGATTTTGAAATTTAACTAACTAAAATGATGATACCTTCAACGCATCTATGCAAATATATGCTATTTGATACTTCTCTAGAGGCTCCTCAATAACATTCATCAAGTCAACAACACTCCTACCCCCTACAATACTCCATTACAATCTGCCAACAAATACAAAATTCTCAGATATTTAAATTCAAGTGGAAAACTAACACTTGTTATCTGATTTAGAAACCAAGAGGGGGCACACATCATCATGGCCTCGGTACCATCCAGAAAGATAAAAATTATCATAAACTCGAAGGTCGATGATCTTCTTCATACTCAAAGATATTCTTCTCCTTGGTAGCTACCTAGATAGCGAACAACATTAGGATGACTACATTGCTGCAACATCTCAATTTCACCGCGAATTTCTTCATAACCTTCCTCATGTAAATTTATGAGATTCCAAACTTCATATTCCATCCACTAAACCTATATATTATTATATGCAATTAAAAGGAAGAATATAATAAGCACCCCTTTAGCTAATGATATCACCTTGATAGCAACCAATTCTAAAGTCCTTATATCTCGAGCCTCATAGATTGCCCCTTATGAATCCTTCCATGTTCATTGCCAAAAACAAAAATAAAAGATGCTTAAGCAAAATGCTTCTTACACCATTAGACATTGAACTAAGAAAGATAATTCTATTACATAAATTTGATTATACTGAAAATTAAAATATGCCTCATATCATCACCTCTACTAATCTCGCTGGAACTAAAAAATTTCAAAAACAACAGGTCAACAAACAAACCAAAAATTTTAATCTTCCGCACACCATCATTAACGAAAATATCCTACTTATTTGCGGAACCCAATTAATACCAACATCCAGGAGTCAACGAATTTAAGTAAAAAAAGAAACCCATTTACAAAAGAGGCCGAAATAATACATTAATGGTGACATTTCCTTTAGCTTTACTCAGAGTAGTAGTAGTGGATGTCGTGTTGTGGTTGTAAGACGACGTCGTGGGCCGATGGTGGCGTTTAGGTGGCACAGCCAAAGAAGACGGTGGCAGTGGAGGTGTTTGTCTAGAACGGAAAGGGGGGATTGCAGACTGGAAGTTTAAGAGTTTTTTTTGTTTTATGCTTTTGTTTGGTGTGCTAGAGAAGAAAGATAAATAAAGCCGATTGTGGTGTTTAGGTGGCACAACCGACGAAGACAGAGATGGTGAAGGTGTTTTTCGAGAACTGAAAGGGAGAGATTGTTTACTGGAAGTTCCAAGGTTTTTTTTTTGCTTTCGTCTGTTTTAGAGAATAAAGAGAAATAGAGGCGATCCATTGCAAGAAAGAAAAAGCAAGAAGTTAGAAGATATTTTGGGAACAGTAATTAAACTTGTTCGTGAACAATGAGAACAAATACTAGTGTGAAATGGAGGGTGCACAAATTGAAAAAAAAAAAAGACCAAACTAGTTCAATGTGAAAACCAATGTAACAAAATGAAACTGTGAACTCCACATTTACTCTTTTAAAGGAAAGGTGATATCTAATATTTGTCAAATTAATTTTAAATTAAGCTCAAACTTTATTTTATTTTTGTTTTAGTAGAATTTCAGTCTAAGTGAAGTTTTGAACACAATTTCAATTGGGTGGAGATTGATTGTGGTCAAGTTTTGAGCAAAACGGGAGCCAATGATAGATACCCGACATGGAAATTCGAGTGGAGCGGGTCCTACCCATTTTACTATTGAGAAAACTGGTTGGATATCTTTCATTTTACCTTATCCCAAAAAAAGTGGGATATTTCCTTCATTAATCGTTGCGAGACGTGCATTTGCAATCACAAGCTATTAATTTTCAATTTTATTTACATTAATTATGGTGGATGCGTGTCTCAACATTAACGACAAAAAAGGAGTAGTCGTCATCTTTTTCAATTATTGGACACGTGAGTTCATTTCTTCCTCTTATCTACACAACTTGGTGGTGTTATTCGCAATTCGGTTGCTTCATCGTAATTTAATTTATCTATTTTAAGTTTAAAGTCATTACTGTAGTTTTACATAACATATAACGAACCAATTAATTAGTGATGTAGTGTACTAAGGACCTGTTTGGTGTGGCTTTTTTAAAAGTCAAAAATTATTTTGAGAATAACAAGTTGTTTTCAAGCATATTTGATAATTTTCTTGAAAATATTTTATCCGACTAAAAGAATTTTAGATGAAAATTATTTAAGATAACTTATTCAGAAAAATCTACAAGAAAACAAAAGAAGTGTCTTAAATAATAAAATTATAATTTATTGTATTAACTATTAAACAAACAAAGCTTCCATTATCAACATTACAGAGTTGCCTTCGCTTGAACGCAAAAACCTGAATTTGAAGTACCCTTTTACATCATTAATCTTTATTTCATAATTAACAGTATTTTAATATCATTAATTAACACGAAGATTGACGCACCGTACATGCCACCACTTGTGCCCATTGTCTCAACCTTGTCTTTACCGCCTGTGGATTATCCTCTGCATAACGAAATATATATATCATTTAATTGAATAATTTGTTGTTTGACTTTCTACTTGCAATATAAAAAGTGTTGAATAGGGTTTAATTAATTACCAGGGTCGAAGATGGTGGGGGGGCTTCCCAGAGGAGAGGGAGTGTCGCGGTCGGAGACGATGGAAGTTGACGGAGGTGATAAAGGCGGTGGATTTGAAACGGTGTCGTTGTAATTCTTGCTGACCGAGTAGTAGAGGCCATACGCTGGTAAAGTATCCGACAAACGCTTGTCCATTTCCGACGAATCGAATCCGAAGCCAAGCTCTATGCAGGCCTTGAGTTCATCAAGATCCTCTTCGGTGACGCTTTTGCTCCGCCTGTTTTGTAGGACCTTCCTCCGCAGCCACGCCTCGTCGCGGTAGTTATCGTGGGACCATGAATTCTGTTTGTATAGAGAAGGGGTTGTAGGTGGCGGTGTTAGGTGCAGCCGTGACGGGTTCGGTGGAGAAGGGGTGGCGGGGTGAGACATGGCGGTGGTTGTGTAGGGGGGCTACTCTAGCCCAAACCCCGGTGGCGTGGAGGTGTTTTGTCGAATGAAGGAGCTCAATGGGTGAATACATGTTATATTTGCGTATTTATTGGCGGTGGAATTTTTTTTGGGTGGGGCATGTTATACTCTCTCTCTTGTTGGTCTCGAGAGATGGACAAGTCTTCTAAAAATCTATAGTTTATTAGTATTGACAACAAATCAACATTTAGGATGTGTTTGAGCCACATTATTTTTGAAAAATGTATTTTGAAATAGTAGATTGATGGAGAATGTGTGGTTAAAAAAGAAGGAAATATTTTATTTTATTGAAAAATGTGTGGTTGAAAATGAGTAGAAGAATGATAATGCAAATTTTAATATGTGCCAAACAGAGGCTTACTATCTCTTGTTGGTCGCGAGAGATGGACAAGTCTTAGTCTTCTAAAAATCTATAGTTTATGCATATATTTTTGTTCTTTAGAAGCCGAAAATAAAAAACTAGTTAATTTATTTGTATTTTAAAATTTTAAGTTTATATAATTAAAAATGGTAGTATAGAGTAAAACTCTAACGTTGTAATAATTTAACGTAAAATTTTCAACTTTTTCCATTATTATTAAGAAATATATAAATTAAAATGATATGTCTTTTTTTTTTCGTACGAGTATATTCTTTATATGCTTCCTTTATTCTCATTGTTGTCCTCCCTATGACCACTAATAAATGAAGCAAGTTGGAAATATTTAATAAATACTCGTACCAACATTATTACTAGTTTGATATTGAAGCAAGAAGCTTCTTTAAGCACAAGTTGTCATTAAAATTAGGGTTGTAATTAAAGAGATCCGGTTGGTGATGCTGCCAAGCAAATATGGGAAAATGCATTATTGCCGGCGCAAAGGAACTGCCTTAATGCCTCTGTTTAACTCGATGGATTTTACTACTTGTACATAAAAAATGTATACAATCGATTACATAATATGATGTGGATGAAAATATTGGATGAAAAAGTTGATTGTATTTTAAATTAACAAATTGTAGAATGTCATTCGACATTATGTATTCAATTATGTAAATCTTAATACACATGTAGTAAGATCCATTTTTGTATGCATATATTAGTTGTGATGCGTATTTATTCTTTAATATGGATGTTAAATACTAGGGAAATTGTAGCAGCAATCCTAACCTTTTCAATTTTTGTAAACTTTACCTTAACCTTTAATTTGTGTCAGTTGAGGTTCTTAACCTTTCAAAAATATGAAGCTGGATCCAAATAGATGATTTCCGTCTACTTTTCCGTTAGTTGACCAAAAAATGAAAATTTTGATCAATTTTGACCAAATTAAAAATGACAAAATGGTAATTTACATTTTTTTTCATATTATATAAGTTATTTAATTAAATTAAAAATTAGAAAATAAATATAAATATATAAANTCCGATCAAGAGTTGCAGGCCAAGAGCTCCCATCGGACACCGCCACCCGCCATGGGTTGGTTCAAACTGTTGGCAAAGGTGGGGAAATCAGATGGTTCATTATCAACTTTGGTGGTCACAGTCGAATCCATGTCCATTTTTACCAAACAAACCCCCAAAATTTTAAAGGTTTAGAATAGCTTGAATTCTCAACAATTCACATTTTCAATCGTCATTTAGAAAAAAAACATAGTTGCCGATCGTTCAAATTCGCAACACCATTTCTCCAATATAAATTATTTTCCCCCAAACTTCTATAATTTTCTAATACAACTAGTAATCGGGTGATACAATGTCTTTCGAAGTGTAGTTTGAAGAATTCTTTGTTGCTACTGTCCAATTGGTGATACAACTTGAGGAATTCTCGATGTACGTTGTTGTGTTGTTGTTGTTCATGTAGGGTAGTGAACATCTTGGTTTTGGTCATGTGCAAGTCGCCGACAGGGTTGTTGCCACCATGGCAGTGCAACTGCGATGACAATGCCCTCGAAATCCACCCAATTTCTGGCTCCGTCAACATGTAAACGCTCTAGAATCAAACTTAGACTACAAAAATAGTGAGAATTGACTCTATTCTTTTCGATTTCCGAGTGCGAAGAAAAAATAGAGAACTTTTGTGTAAAATAGAGAAAAATTAAGAAAAATGGAGGTGGAGATTGGTGGGGGATAAGGTTGGAGAAGAAAGTGAAATGGGTGGGAAAGGTGGTGATGGCCGTGGAAGAAGAAAATAGTTCATAGGTTAGCCATTCATAATAGGTTTGAGCTGGTCCAATGACCCATTAGATTGGCTCGATTTGGCCAGTTTATGATATAAAAAAGGAATAATTATGTCATATGCCTTCATTTCTTCTACAATTTAAATAATAGGGTAAATTGCAGCAAAGGTTCTCAATCTTTTATTTCATTCGAAAATTCACCCCCGATCTTTTTTCAACATTTGTTTCCCCAACCTTCGATTAATTGGCAGCATTCATCCAAATAAAAATTACAAAAGGGTAAAATAGTCCTTTCACTTTTACCTTGCTCGTAAGAAATATTTCACATCCAAAACCCTTGTCGTCTTTTTATTTATCCTCATCTCTAAGCCCATCAAAATCCGAGTTTTCAATATCCTAGCGTGGTCCATTTTGTAATGTTTTCTATAAATTATAAATATTGTGCAAGGGACGAATATGCATTGATGGATAGGATAACATTCGACACGATTATTGTAATTTTTTTTTTTCCTGTTTTGTTGTATATTTTAGCTTATTGTGCTCTTTTACGTACTAAAATTTAATCTTTTTAGTGATATTTTTGTCGTCGGACACAAAAATTTGGGGATTTCCACGCCAAAGGAATCCAATATCTTCGCACTAAAGGATATTATAAGTAATAAAGCAGAAAGGTTTTGTTTGGGTCCCAACCTTTGTGATTTGTACGGAATAAGTATCTGACTCATGAAAGTGTTTTGCAGTGTAGGTCCTTAACTTTATATACGTTTGTCCATGTAGTCCCCAATCTTTTGCAAGATTTTGTCCCTTTTTGTTTACATTTTAACGGGGAGTCGACACAACATTTTCCATAGATGTAAGTGTGAAAGTAAGGAAAGCCGTCAGTCTTTTTGGTAAGTCATTGTTGCAGGTTGTTTGTCAACTGTAGTCCAAATATCTATAGATAAAACAAAATCTTAAATCTTACCTCTAAAAAAAACTGCATTCGAGCTAGGAAAAAAATTAGTTAACATTTTCCATTGATGCGTGTGAGCAAGAAGCTGATAAACAACATTTTCATTGATGAACAAAAGCTTACATCTTACCTATAAACTAAATGAACTGCATTCTACGTAAGAACATTCCATGTACCATAAAACATTACTAGAAATACACAAATCCAAATATGTTTATATAAAAAGTAACCTATGATAACACTAAGAATAACGTGTTACACATGTAAAACATTATTTTTTAAGCTTACCTTATGTAATTCGTGTAAAAATGTTGTTTTCAGATGGAAAATTTGCAATATTGATTTTAAATGGGAATGAGGTATGTTTTCGAAAAATTGAAAAAGTAGTCAACTTTCAAAGAAAAATATGGCAACGTGTCAAAATTTCCATAAAAAAATTAACACCATTCTGTTCAGTAATCTCTTATTTAATTCCTACATAAGGGTCAATAATATGGGCTATTCAATTGGGTCAGTGGCGGCCCGTTTACTTGCGAACTGCCCATTTGATTGATTTGTACCATTTTAGCCTTAATTCCTTCCAATTTGCTCAAGGAAAATTACCTTGAAACCTACATTTAAAGATTAATTTTTTAAAAAAAACAGGGGAATTAATTTTGATTTCACAAATCTGGTAATTAAATTTTAATAATTATAATTAATAAAAATTAATTAAGCTTAATCTACGTATACACCTAACTCCTCCCCACCCCAATTCATCCCCAACCCGTTTTCTCCGGGGTTATTAGCAAATAACATCCCCACCTTTATTGTTATCGTGGAAAACATTTTTACCTTTCATTTTTTTGGCATTTTCACATTTCATTGTGCTAAAAGTCATTTTAATCTATTTTCTCAATTAAAAATTGTGAAATGACGAATATACCATTCTCTTTAAATAAAAAAATTAATTAATTGCAACCATCTTCTCAATTTTTTTTAAAAAGCGCAAATGAGTCCCAAACAAATTATTAAAATTGTAATTAGTACATAATTCCCTATCTTTCACCTTTATTGCGAAAAAGTCTATACCTTTCATTTTTTTTGGCATTTTCACCCTTAATTATACATTTGATTGTGTAAACCATCATTTCCATCCAAATTCTCAATAAAAAATTGTGAAATAATGAATATACCCTCATATTAAAATAAAAAAAAATATTTTTTAAATTCTAATTCTTTAATAATTTATTTGGGGACTTGTTTGCACTTTTTTAAATTTTTTAATAAATTTAATTGGTACTCGTTTGTACTTTTTTAAAAAAATTGGGACTATGATTGTAATTAATTATTTATCTTTTTTTATTTAAAATGAAAGTATATTCGTCATTTTACATCTTTTTATTAAGAAATTGGATGAAAATTGATAGAAATGATGGTTTGTGCTATCAAATGTGTAATTAAGTGTGAAAATGTCAAAAAATAAAAAGTGATGACTTTTTTTGCAATAATAGTGAAAGATATGAACATTATGTGTTAATTACCTTTTTAATAATTTATTTGAGACTCATTTGCACTTTTTAAAAAAATTGGGACTACATTTGCAATTAATTTTTTTCTTTTTCCTTTTGTTTTATTTAAAGGGAAGAGTATATTCGTCATTTCATAATTTTTAATTGAAAATATAGATAAAATAACCTTTTGCGCAACGAAATGTGAAAATAAGGGTGAAAATGCCAAAAAATAAAATGTAAGGATGTTTTCGGTGAAAAGTGGGGACGTTATGTGCTAATTACACTTTTTCCTGTCTTCTCTCTGTGCACTACACCATACCCACCATCGCCCACTTGCTACTGAAACCAAGTCATTGTCGC